AATTCGCGCAAATGCTCGCGCACGTCGCCGTTTTCAGGCATCTTACACAAAATTAAATTTTTCAAGAGAGTGGCTTTCCTGGCTGGTCCCTTGGATTGATATATGTCTTCCAGTCTTAGCCATATCTCCCTAGACGTACCGCAGTTTTTCATCTGCTTTAACTCCGGCGGACTAATAGATAAAATAATGTCTAACCTTGCCTTAGCATCGTTCTTCTCCCAGTCTGTGACGGCTGCAACATTCGAACTATCCGCCAATAACTTCGGCTTCGGCGTCTGCCCATTGACGTAATTCCAGGCGTCCCCTTTAATCAGTACCGCTTCCATCTGCAACTTCCACGTGTCGAAGTTGTCCTTCCCCAAAGCTTCGATTTTGACCGCACCTGATGCCATTTTGTTTATTCACCGCACAGATAATTTCGAGAATAGAGAAAAGAACCCGCAAGTACTCGCGCTACGTTAACACGGCAAATGAAATTCGAGTGTTCGACTTAACACCACGTGTTAGTCCTCAATGACCGAACGAAAACACAACCAACAGTTAACACATTTATTATACAAACACAAGTAAATATACATTACAGTGAACTTAGACACACGCGCGCGGACAACCGACCAGCCATTAGTTCTGACGTTCGTCTTCGTCATGGCTACGTCATCGCTGGCGCAGTCGCGCAGACTACCGCCGAACACGCACTCCATCAATGCTTCCTGACAAAATCCAACAAAAATTGTAGGATATTACTATCGGTAAGTTGAATAAAAAATCATGGCGTTGATGGTCGCAGATTAAGATTTACGAAATATTTGCTTTCAAATTCAAGTTTTGAAAAATCACAAAAATTGACATTTATTTTGGCTGTTCTGGGGACGAGTTCGAATGTTTGATGAAATTAAACCAAAAACAAATTATCGAGATCGAAATCAGCACTAGCAGCGGATCAAGATTGTGGAAATATTCGGTATAAACTAAAAGTTGTAAAGATTCCAAAAACTGCCATATTTTACTTTGGTGATTCTGGAAAAAGTAGTGGTAGTAGGACTTTTTAGCGTTGAACTTAGGCTCTGCTCGTTCAAACTCGAATTCCAGCTCCTCAACATTTTTTTGAATGGTCGACTTCAGATGCACGCTTTTGTCCAAATAATTTTGAAGATTATCGTCATTCAGTGGGAAAATTAAGGCAAATGATACTGTTTACAGTTTTTAAATTAAATAATTTATTTTATAATGTTATAATAATATGTAATTTATAAAATAAAATAACAAAATTTATATACAAACAAAATGAAATATCTAGTCTAAAGCGAATATATAATCCAATAGGTTACTCCTTTGGTAGATGTCTCCTTATTAGTGTCCGTCTGAGCCTCAAATTTCCAGAAATAATTCCTGGGAGGTGCCTGGATCCGACTCCTCTGACTGTCATTATTTTCGTCACGTCTTCGGGCTTTTCGAAATTTTTGACGAAATTTCTGTATTCCCTGCAGGTGGAATCGAGTTCCTCTTCTGGGAAAGTCTCCACAATGCGGGTTGGCGATGAACATCTCTGTAGAGCCATGTTTTGGAAATATCTGAAAAAGGAAACAAGAATTAGAAACAATTTACATAAATAAATGAAGGGTACACTCACAGTCTTGTGGTGATGAAAGTGTCTGGTATGTTAGCGCTGTAACGTCAACATTAAGACTGAAGATCGCGGGTTTGTTTCGCCCTTATATACATGCTGCAGCACCCCTACCCTATTCCCCCCCACCCCACCAGGTTGCCGAATAAGATCGGGGTGCTACACTTTCCACAGTTTGGGTGAAGCGTTTTAGGAAATATTTCTTTTTGTATTGTTTTGTATTGTATTAATCCTTTAAATTTTTTGACAATGGAATTTTAATTTTTTCAAAAATGATACACAACGAATGTCAAATTTCTTGGCGAAGTAGAGGTAGATCTCGATGAGCTGAATCAAAAAACAGCATATTTATGGTTACGAAGCAAGATTTTGAGAATATGTATTCGTTTTCAAATTGAAATTTTTAAAATGACTGTAGTGTCCTAATGTACCGACATGTACGGCCGGGAATGCAGATTGGCATTGACAAGTGACAGGTGCAAAAATGTAGAAACACACTTGTAATAGTACGTTAATAAATACACGTTATTCCCCGATTCAATTCGCATTTATTAACACAACATTGACGACGAGGAAAAGGGTAAAGAAGATGAATGCCGACAAGACGGGTATCAAAACGTTCGACCCGACGGGGGACGAATCGGAAACAGCACAGAAATGGGACCGATGGCTACGATCGTTCGAGCTATTTCTGGAGGCAAGTGCGATTCAAAATGAAAAAAGAAAACGGGCGTTATTACTCTATTATGCCGGGGAAGGTGTACAAGAGGTCTGGTATACGCTTCCAGAATCGAAAACGGAGGATGAGCCGCAAGCACCACTGTATGATATCTGCAAAACAGCACTAACCGCAATTTTTCAGCCAAAAAAGAACTATACTAATCGAGAAATGCACTTCAAATGACCTGCGAAGGCAACTGCTAAAGGAAGGCGACAGTTTAACCGTAGACCGAGCCAAGGAGCTGGGAAGAATCTTTGAAGCCTCCGAGAAACAAGCCGGGCGAATGGAAGCCGGAAGGCAAGACATCCGGAGAGTAGAAAAGAAAGTGAACACGAAGCGTCCACCCAAAGCGTTCAAATGTTACATGCAACAAATGTGGGCTGATAGGACATCTGGGGAAATGCTGCAGAACAAAGAAGAAAACTACTGAACAAGGGAAAAGAATCCGAAACGTCGAAACTGGACATCCGGAAGACAGCGAGTATGCTTTCCAAGTACAAGACGAAGGCAGCGACCTAGACAGTATTCAAGTTTTACTCGGAGGGGTCAAGGCAAGATTTCTTATCGATTCAGGTGCAACATGCAACGTAATAGATAAGGAGAGTTGGGAAAACCTGAAAGCAAGTAAGAGAAAAGGCAGCTGTGGGGAGCCAGACACGAAGAAATTATACTCGTATGGGGGACAAGCACCATTGAAGACATTGGGTACGTTCCACACCACCGTAGAACTAGAAAATGGAAGGAAGCTAGACTCGATCAAGTTCTACGTCGTTGATGTCAAGGCTACACCAATAATCGGAAAGAGCACTGCTAGGACGTTGGGCATCCTGCGGACAGGACTCCCGCTACGAAACGTCAGCAGCATAGAGGTCCCTTCCATCAAATCGCTAAGCAAAAAATTTCCTAACGCTATGGGCGAAGGAATCGGGAACCTCCATATTACTCCTTGAAAATCGCTATTGATGAAAAAATTCCACCGTTGGCACAGACTGGCAGAAGAATACCGTTCCAGCTACGACCTTTGGTAAAGGGAAAACTGAGGGAGCTAATAGAAAGCGATATAATTGAGAAGGTCAACGAACCGGCGCGATGGGTATCACCAGTAGTTTGTACAACAAAAAAAACGAAGAACTACGCATGTGTGTCGACATGAGGGCAGCAAACGAAGTCATAATCCGAGAACGTCATCCAATTCCAACGATCAACGATTTGATTCTGAGCTTAAATGGAAGCAAATGGTTTTCAGAAATTGACTTAAAATCAGCTTTTCATCAAATCGAATTAGAAGAGAGTAGCAGAGAAATCACAACATTCGCTACATTCGATGGGCTTTACCGATTCAAGAGACTATTTTTTGGCATAAACTGTGCACCCGAGATATTCCAACGCATCATGGAACAACTTGCTGAAGACCTACACGGTGTAGAAATATATGTAAATGACTTCTTGGTCCATGGGAAAACCCTAGAAGAACATAATAGAAATTTACTCGAACTACTCAAACGACTTGAGAACTCTGGCATAACAGTGAACAAGGACAAGTGCAAGATAGCACAGAAGAAATTAGAATTTATGGGCCATGAGATCGGCGAAGAAGGTGTACGACCGCTAAGAAGCCGAATCGAAACAATCAAAAACTTTCGGGCTCCGAAAACAAAAACCGAGCTAAGCAGTTTCTTGGGCTTGGTAGGATTTTGCAGTAAGTTTATACCCGAATACTCAGCGTTAACTGCTCCGCTTAGAAAACTGATTAGAAAAGACGTACAGTTCCAATGGAGAAGAGAACAAAGCAAGGCGTTTGAACGACTGAAAGGGGAACTAATGAAGAGTAAAACCCTGGGATTCTTCAATCTACGTTGTAAATCAACGATCATAGCTGATGCAAGTCCGTATGGCTTAGGTGCAGTTCTCGTCCAAATGCAGAATGGGGGGGAGAAGATCATTGAATACGCAAGTCGAGCCTTAACAGACGCAGAAAAGAAGTACAGCCAAACTGAAAAAGAGGTCCTAAGTCTAGTATGGGCATGTGAAAGATTTCACCTGTACGTATACGGCGCTGAATTTGATATAATTACAGACCACAAGCCGTTAGAATTCATATTCTCACCCAGATCAAAGCCTTGTGCACGAGTAGAAAGATGGGTCATGAGACTTATGGGATATAACTTCAACGTTATATACCAACCAGGCAAGAAAAATATTGCAGACCCATTGTCCAGGCTAACTGACACGAATACAAAATCAAACATCGCCGATGATGATGAACATCACGTCCGATGGGTCGCGAAGGAAGCAGTTCCATATTCAATGAGCATTGAAGAGATCCGAGAAAAATCCACGGAGATGCAAGACCTTAGAGATGCGATCCGAGAAGATAAATATCCAGTGAGACTGCGGAAATACGAACTGATCAAAACAGAACTATGTATCATTGACGACGTTGTTCTTAGAGGCACAAGAATATTAATTCCGCCTTCATTACGGCAAAGAGTCTTAAAATTAGCCCATGAAGGTCATCAGGGAATCGTCAAAATGAAGCAACGACTGAGAACTAAAGTTTGGTGATTTGGCAAGGAAAAAGACGTCGAGACATTCTGCAAGCATTGCCACGGATGCCAGCTAGTGAGCGCTGCGCAACCACCAGAACCACTGACCATGACGAGACTCCCGGGAGGCCCCTGGAAAATGGTTGCAATGGACTTCCTAGGACCACTTCAAGGAGATACAAACATTTTTCTCGTTATAGACTATTATAGCCGCTTCTACGAAGCAAGAGTCATGAAATCCATCACTGCACAGAAGACCATTGAAGAATTGGAGGAAATATTTTCAAGATTTGGCCTCCCAGAGCACATCACTGCAGATAATGGAACTCAATTTACAAGCACTGAATTCCGGGACTACTGTTTGCAAAACGGCATCACGCTGAGAATAAACACCCCGAAATGGCCTCAAGCAAACGGGGAAGTCGAGAGACAAAATAAATACTTGCTGAAAAGACTTCGAATAGCGCAAGCTTCAGGAGAAAACATCATCAGAGCCTTAAGACAATACTTGTTTGCGTATCACAAAACACCACATTGCGTAACGGGGAAAACACCAGCATATCTCATGTTCGGGAGGGAGCTCCGAGATAAACTACCTAGTTACCAGAACAATTTCTTCAAGCCAATTACCGACACCGAGGTGTGAGATCAAGACTTGGAGAAGAAAGAAGCGAGCAAATCGTATGCTGACGCGCACAGACGGAGCAGGCCGTCTGAAGTTGAAATCGGAGATGAAGTACTACTGAGAAGAGACGTTATTTCCGACAAACTAGAGACACCGTATCTCCCGCAACCTGGTAGAGTGACGAATAAACTGGGCAACTCCGTGACTATCGAAACACCAGATGGGCGTAAAGTACACAGGAACACACCCCGTGTGAAGCCCTACAACAAGGAACGAGAAGGAGAAAACCCAATCCAGCCTTCAGTGGAAGATATCCAACAAGAACGACAAGAACCAACGGAGAGGCATTCGGCGAGACAAAGGCAACCGCCTCCGTGGACCAAAGATTTTGTTTGCTAATTGTAATTTTGTATCTTTTCATTTTGTTAAAAAAAGGGGGGAATGATGTAGTGTCCTAATGTACCGACATGTACGGCCGGGAATGCAGATTGGCATTGACAAGTGACAGGTGCAAAAATGTAGAAACACACTTGTAATAGTACGTTAATAAATACACGTTATTCTCCGATTCAATTCGCATTTATTAACACAACAATGACCATATTTGCTTTTAGTGAATGTGTAAAGAGGCAAAATTTTCTAAATAAATTCTTTTATCCCTTCCAAAACATACTGACATCATCTCAAAAATTATTAGGAGAGAGTTGCTTATAATTTTGATGGGATGGTTTTTATTTTTTTACAGTGGTTTAAAAAAAATTATAGATAAAGGGTGTGGTAATACATTGTTGTGCTAAACCGATTTTACGATAACGCAGGTAAAATTGGAAATCCCGCTGGATGTTTATGGGGTGATTACACCATACAGTAATAACATCTTTATTGTCCAATATGTATCTATTACAGTCAAAACAATAGTCATAAATAATATAATTATAAATCAATGTTTACTGAGAAAATTTTCTAACTGTTCGCTTCTGAATTGACATTTTTAAAACACGTCAAAAAGTAACATATTTTATTTTGACGATTCTAGAAATAAGACGAATTTTTGAAGAAATGAAACAAAAAACAAGTTTGGAAGTCGAAATACTAATAGAATATCTTTTGGAAACTTTGAAAAGTCAAAAATTTCATACAGCGAGATGGAAAAACTGAAATTTGGGCAAAGCTGCCAAAAAATCCACCAAAGATTGTGGGATATTACTATCGATAAGTTAAATCAAAAAACATGGCGTTGATGGTCGCAGATTAAGATTTACGAAATATTTGCTTTCAAATTCAAGTTTTGAAAAATCACAAAAATTTACATTTATTTTGGCTGTTCTGGGGATGAGTTGGAATGTTTGAAGAAATTAAACCAAAAACAAATTATCGAGAGATACAAAATTTGCTTGTTCGTTTATTTTTCTATTAACCCACTCACAAAAGTTTTGCTTACGTTAGTTTCCATAACTGAATTTTCTGGTCCTAAAAGGGGTACATTTGTTCTCTGAGTATCCTCCAAATACAACTCTCCGATACATCGTACTAGACAGTAACTTAGCCCGGTGCAGATTTAAAAGATCCATACTCTCGAAGATGCTGCAACGTTCTTAAAACTGCGCACATTTGGCAGACGATTTGGGAGGCTTTCTGAAAAAATTCTTTGGGCGCGAGTACCGTTTCCCCGAGCTTGACCGTACGTTAAAACGATATCGGTGCATTCCAGATTTGAAAACAATGCCATTTCAACACATTACGTCTATAAATTAGAAATCTGTGCGAAAAAAACTTTAAAGAGACAACGTTTAATATACACTTGACATAAAAATGATTGTCAGTGTCAAAATGGTTGCTAGGGTACCTTGCTTCATTGTTGTAGCGTTGTTATTATTTAAGGTGAACATAGACGGCTCGTGAATATATGGGTGGGAAAATTCGAAATTCGACTTGAGTTTTCGAAAAAATGCTAGATAAAAAAGTTGTTCCGTTTCACGAGTTCTGTTACTGGTTAAAATTAATTTACTTATTTCTGAGACACCCTGTATATAGCTGGCTTACCGAATAGATGGAGACATCACGTGTTTACACAGCGAGCGGTCAACTAGCCCATAAATGGACTATAACTAAAATCCTCCTCCGGGTTTATCGATCAAATGTTTCAATTTACTCCATTTTTGTGTTGTTGTAGTTTGGGTAAAAAAATAAAACCGAAATTGCTTTATATAAAACAAAAATACAACATAAAGCTGCCCAAAATTCCACCAAGAATTCTGGGATATAACCCTCGATAAGCTGAATCAAAAACATGGCGCTGATGGTCGCAGATCAAGATTTAAGAAATATTTGCTTTGAAACTGAACTTTTGAAAAATCACAAAAATTGACATTGTTACCCGACGATTACTTTTTCGCCACGGCCAAGAAAAACTGTTCCTTCTACGAAAACTTTATTCACAAAACTGATAATAAATGTATAAAACTTTAAAATAATATGAACGCAATGTAAAACACGGCCGTCCACGTCCGCGACTCAATGAAGAAGAAAGTACGAGGGTGGTTCCGCCAGTGGGGTGATACTCTGGGAGCGCCATCTAGCGGCCTCGCGTTACACTCCCCCTTTGGATTCCGCTCACTGCCCCCAGGAGGAATCCAAAACCTATAATAAAGTTAGCAGCAGCACGGCGCCGAGCAAGGCTTCCTACCCCGACGGCGGCGGTGCGTTCCAGGCTGGGAAGGCGTAGGCTCTATCGGATTCTGTGGCGACTCCGGGGACAGGACCTCCTCAGGTTCTTCCTCAGTGCTCTTCCTTGGACGTCCACGTCTTCTGAGGGGCACCAGCGGCGTAACTGACTCACGGGCACCTTCTTCGAAGGGGCGCAGGGCTGAAGTGGGATACTTCCCCAGGGGTTCGTCCAGTTTGTTGGGTGAGGCCACGACGTAGATGACCGGGGATACCTCCTCGATGATCACGTACGGACCATCACGTCTCGGGGCGAATTTGCTGCTATAGCGGCTGTCGGGCTTGCTCAGGGCATGTGCATCGACGAGCACACGGTCGCCCTTCTTGTAAGTGGGACCGGGCCGGCGTTTTGGGTCCGCGTAAAGTTTGGCGCGGTCCTGGTTCCTTTCGGAGGTTTCGCGCGCGCACTTTAGTGTTTCGGAAATTGTCTGCAAATACGGAGTTATTTCCGCGACAAAGTTCTCACTCGCCACCACCGCACGCAGGTCATCGTACACCTCCAGGGGTGTCCTTAATTCGCGACCAAAGCACAAGTACGCGGGGCTTTGACCGACACCTAAATGGAGAGCACTGTTCATCGCGAAGCGCACTGCGGGCAAAGCAGTACTTCACTTTGTATGCTCTTTTTCCACGATTATCGCCAGCTGTGTCTTCAAATCGCGGTTTCTTCTTTCCTCCGGGTTGGACGACGGGTGATACACAGGGGTCAGGTTCTGCTTGAACCCGAGGCAGTACGACATCTTTTGCAAGATGTCGCTCACAAACTGCGGACCATTGTGGCTCCGCGGCGTGCCATATCGCAAGATTACCTCATCCACCAAGCATTTCGCACATGCTTCGGCAGTTGCTTTCTTCAGCGCGAAAAGTTCGATCCACCTGGTGGCGGTGTCTTCGATTGCGAACACCCATCTCTCCCCCTGGTCGGTGGGTGGCAGCGGTCCGAAGAATTCCATCGCCAGAACCTCGAAGCACTGGCCCATGACCGGCGTTTTCAGCAAACCTGTAGGTTTCAGGTTGCTGCATTTGAAGCGCTGACACTCCAGGCATTGCTGAACCAGTAATACCTCGGCGACATCTTCGCGAGCGTCGTCTCTACACCTGGGTGGCCCGCCATGGGCGAGTCATGAAACTCTCTCAATATCTCGGCAACTCTTGACTGCGGCACCACCTCCTCATCCGGGGAGTAGCGGTAGAGCACTCCATCATTCATGGTGTACCCCCTGTCGGTCCATCGTGACAGATCGCCGTCGACACTTTCGAAGGCAGAAATGACGTTTGCCACGTCTGGGTCCTCCAGCTGCTCGTCACGGATACCTCGTTGAGAAGCGGTGGGTAAGTCGATGCTAACGAGACAGGCTTGTAGGGCTTCGTCGACACCTGGTGGTCGTCATAACGTATCGGCGACCACATTGCTCCTGCCTGGAATATAATCAATCGTCAAATCATAGCTTTGCAGCCAAGGAAGTGGCCGGTGACCCGCACTTTCGCGCCCTCCAAGTAGCCGCGGAACTTTTGTACCGCGTAGACAATGGCTAGAGCTTCCCTCTCAGTCGTGCTGTAGTTACGTTCTGCCTGTGTCAGGAGACGGCTCGCATATTCTACGGGCCTCTCATCCGCGCCCTCACCCTGCAACAGGCATGCACCCAACGCGTATGAACTTGCGTCGGTCTTCAACATGTAGGAAAGTGCAGGGTCGGGTTGACGTAATATGGGGGCCGTCGTGAGTTTTTATTTTAGGTCGGTGAAGGCCACTTCTTGCTCTGTGCCCCATATCCACGTAGCCTTCTTCTTTGTTAGATCTGAAAGAGGTCGCGCAACTATCGAAAACTCCGGGACGAAACGGCGAAACCAACTACATGTCTGCAGAAACGACATGACTTCTTTGGCATTTCTTGGTGTTGACATGCCGGCAATGGCGGCGACTTTTTCAGGATCCGCTGAAATGCCCTCTTTCGTGATTATGTGGCCTAGGAACTTAACCCGCTTGCATACGAACACGCACTTTTCCACATTCGCACTAAGTTTGAATTTGCGCAACCGCTGAAACACATTTTTTAGATCGCTTAAGTGTTTTTCAAAAGTACGAGGGTGGTTCCGCCAGTGGGGGTGATACTCTGGTAGCGCCATTTAGCGGCCTCCGTTACAACATTTATTTTGGCTGTTCTGGGGACGAGTTGGAATGTTTGAAGAAATGAAACCAAAAACAAATTTTCGAGATCGAAATCAGCACTAGCAGCGGATCAAGATTGTGGAAATATTTGTATAAACTAAAAGTTGTAAAGATTCCAAAAAGTGCCATATTTTACTTTGGTGATACTGGAAAAAGTAGTGGTAGTAGGACTTTTTAGCGTTGAACTTAACTCGAATTCCAGCTCCTCGACATTTTTATGAATGGTCGACTTCGGATGCATGCTTTTGTCTAAATAATTTTGAAGATTTTCGTCATTCAGTGGAAAAATTAAGGAAAATGACACTGTTTAAAATTTTAAATTAAATAATTTAATTTATAATGTTGTAATAATATGTAATTTATAAAACAAAATAACAAAATTTATGTACAAACAAAATGGATAAATCAAATATCTAGTCTAAAACAAATATATAATAATCCAATAGGTTACTCCTGTGGTAGATGTCTCCTTACTGGTGTCCGTCTGAGCCTCAAATTTCCAGAAATAATTCCTGGGAGATGCCTGGATCCGACTCCTCTGACTGTCATTATTTTCGTCAAATCTTCGGGCTTTTCGAAATTTTTGACGAAATTTCTGTATTCCCTGCAGGTGGAATCGAGTTCCTCTTCTGGGAAAGTCTCCACAGTGCGGGTTGGCGATGAACATCTCTGTAGAGCCATGGTTTGGAAATATCTGAAAAAAGAAACAAGAATTAGAAACAATTTATATAAATAAATGAAGGGTATACTTACAGTCTTGTGGTGATGAAAGTGTCTGCTATGTTAGCGCTGTAACGTCAACATTAAGACTGAAGATCGTGGGTTTGATTCGGCCTTATATACATGCTGCAGCACCCCTACCCTATTCCCCCCCCCCCTCCAACAGGTTGCCGAATAAGATCGAGGTGCTACACTTTCCACAGTTTGGGTGAAGCGTTTTAAGAAATCTTTCTTTTGGCATTGTCGTTTAAATGACAATCAAGTTTTAAAAAAATCGATTCAAATTTTTTGACAATTGAATTTTAATTTTTTAAAAATTTTGATGAACAGCGAATCTCAGATTTCTTGGCGAAGTAGAAGTAAATTTCGACGAGCTGAATCAAAAAACATTGCGTGTTCATGGTCGCGAAGCAAGATGTTTAAAATATTCGCTTTCAAATTGAAATTTGTATAAATGACCATATTTGCTTTTAGAGAATGTGTAAACAGGCCAAATTTTCTAACTAAATTCTTTTAACCCTTCCAAAATATGATGACATCATCTCAAAAATTATTAAGAGGGAGTTGCTTATAATTTTGATGGGATGGTTTTTATTTTTTTACAGTGGTTTAAAAAAATTTTATAGATAAAGGGTGTGGTAATACATTGTTGTGCTGAGCCGATTTTACGATAACACAGGTAAAATTGGAAATACCGCTGGATGTTTATGGGGTGATTACACCATACAGTAATAACATTTTTATTGTCCAGAATTGACAAATAATGTATCTATTACAGTCAAAACAACAGTCACAAACAATATAAATATAAATCAAATTTATATGTTTACTGAGAATATTTTCTAACTTTTCGCTTCTGAATTGATATTTTTAACACACGTCAAAAAGTAACATATTTTATTTTGGCGATTCTAGAAATAAGATGAATTTATGAAGAAATGAAACAAAAAACAAGTTTGGAAGTCAAAATAATAATAGTATATCTTTTGGAAACTTTGAAAAGTCAAAAATTTCATACAGCGAGTTGGAAAAACTGAAATTTGGGCAAAGCTGCCAAAAAATCCACCAAAAATTGTAGGATATTACTATCGATAAGTTGAATAAAAAATCATGGCGTTGATGGTCGCAGATTAAGATTTACGAAATATTTGCTTTCAAATTCAAGTTTTAAAAAATCACAAAATTGACATTTATTTTGGCTGTTCTGGGGACGAGTTGGAATGTTTGAAGAAATGAAACGAAAAACAAATTATCGAGATCGAAATCAGCACTAGCCGCGGATCAAGATTGTGGAAATATTCGGTATAAACTAAAAGTTGTAAAGATTCCAAAAAGTGCCATATCTTACTTTGGTGATTCTGGAAAAAGTAGTGGTAGTAGGACTTTTTAGCGTTGAACTTAAGCTCTGCTCGTTCAAACTCGAATTCCAGCTCCTCAACATTTTTTTGCATGGTCGACTTCAGATGCACGCTTTTGTCTAAAAAATTTTGAAGATTTTCGTCATTCAGTGGGAAAATTAAGGAAAATAACACAGTTTAAAATTTTAAATTAAATAATTTAATTTATTCAATTTTGACATGTAAACAAACGTTTATTTTGCTGTCAGTAGGCCACTAAAGCTTTGGTTTATCCGGTAGCACCATAAAATTTTTAAACCGCTAGCGAAATAAAATTTTTATTTTCCTGTTTTAAAACCATGGTTACCATTTCTGTAATTTCTCCAGTGTCTTGCTGCTCTTTCCATCTAAAGAACTTTTGATACACTTTCTGATCTGGTCTTTTCTGGGAGCAAGTTTTGTCGTTAGAATCTTGCATGATTTTGAAATTTTTCACATACTACACACACACACCTGATATTGTACACAAAATTCTACGCATATAAAACTTTTATTTGGTCGCTGTCAATTCTGACGTTTCTCGAGTCTGAACTTTGAATCACCAATTTTTTCACAATTTGGGACTTGGGGTTGTCAAAATTGAATAAAATTTTGTATTACACTCGCGGTTAAAATCAATGTGTAACTCGCGGTCTTAAGGCGCTCATTAAACATTCACTTTAACCGCTTGTATAATAAATAACTATTATAATGTTATAATAATATGTAATTTATAAAACAAAATAACAAGATTTATGTACAAACAAAATGGATACATGAAATATCTAGTCTAAAACGAATATATAATCCAATAGGTTACTCCTGTGGTCGATGTCTCCTTATTAGTGTCCGTTTGAGCCCCAAATTCCCAGAAATAATTCCTGGGAGATGCCTGGATCCGACTCCTCTGACTGTCATTATTTTCGTCAAATCTTCGGGCTTTTCGAAATTTTTGACGAAATTTCTGTATTCCCTGCAGGTGGAATCGAGTTCCTCTTCTGGGAAAGTCTCCTCAGTGCGGGTTGGCGATGAACATCTCTGTAGAGCCATGGTTTGGAAATATCTGAAAAAGAAAACAAGAATTAGAAACAATTTATATAAATAAATGAAGGGTATATTTACAGTCTTGTGGTGATGAAAGTGTCTGGTATGTAAGCGCTGTAACGTCAACATTAAGACTGAAGATCGTGGGTTTGTTTCGCCCTTGTATACATGCTGCAGCACCCCTACCGTATTCCCCCCCACCCCTCCAGGCTGGCGAACAAGATGTGGGTGCTACACTTTCCACAGTTTGGGTGAAGCGTTTTAGGAAATCTTTCTTTTTGTATTGTCGTTTAAATGACAATCAAGTTTTAAAAAAATTAGTTTCATATTTTTGAAAATGGAATTTTAATTTTTTCAAAAATGACGAACAGTGAATGTCAATTTTCTTGGCGAAGTAGAGGTAGCTGTCGATGAGCTGAACCAAAAAACACAGCATATTTATGGTCACGCAGCAAGATTTTGAGAATATGTATTCGTTTTCAAATTGAAATTATTAAAATGACCATATTTGCTTTTAGTGGATGTGTAAGGAGGCAAAATTTTCTAACTAAATACTTTTATACTTTCCAAAACATGATGACATCATCTCAAAAATTATTAAGTGAGAGTTGTGTTGAGTGTTGTAACTCATTGGAAAGGGCGGTCAATGGACGCGAATTCAAAATAGCCTCTAACCTCACCAACAACGTATACATTTCCTCAAAAGTCATATGATTTTCTCCAATCACTCGTTTTATATGCCCTTTTACGGATTTTATACCTGCCTCAGCGAGCCCAGCAAAGTGAGGAGCGCGGGCGGATTAAATTTCCACAATATATAATTTTGTCTAATTTTACGATGCAGATCGGGATCCATTAAAAATTTGGCTAATTCGCGTTGCACACCAACAAAGTTCATTGCGTTATCACTTATAATGCAGTTGACATTGCCTCTACGTGAAATCATACGTTTAAGCGAGGTCAGAAATGAGTCTGTGGTAAGATCGCCAACCAGTTCGATATGTATCGCCTTGGTACACAATCATACGAAGAGACCGATGTACGCTTTAACAGTTTTCTTTCCTTTCCCTCTCCCTGCTTTGAAAAATATGGGACCCCCGAAATCAATTGCTAAGTTTTAAAACGGACGCGCCGCTTTTACGCGTTCCTCTGGTAAATTACCCATTGTCTGGGTGAAGGGTTTAGGATTTATTCTAAAACAGAGCATCTAATTATATGGATCACTTTTCATACTTGACTGCGACCTGATATGGGCCAGTATTTTTGTCTGACATGAGTGAGAGGCCCGAATGACCTGCATGTAATTGACTAAGATGGGCTTCTTTGACAATGAGTTCTGCGACAAAGTGTTTAGGTAACAGAATGGAAATTTTTTTATCTTCTGATACTTGGGCGTTTCTCAATCTATCCCCCAGCCTGATTATATTGTTTTTGTCTACAAACGGGCTTATATAACTAATGGAACTGCTTGTTACGGGTTTTTTAGCCGTAAGTTGTTTAATTCCTTGCTCCTTGTCAACGATCAAACAATTTTTTGATGAAATATATCCTTCGTGTTCTAAACCTGCCGAATTATTAGACGACCATTTACTTAAAACAAAACAGCCTTTTGACAATACTGTTTTTAATTCTTCTTTAGTATCGATTAAATTTCGAACGGAATCTGACCCAAATAAAACGTCATCGAGATAAAAAGTATTCATAAAGACTGGATAAGCTAATGGAAATTTTGTTGTTTCTTCTATGCCTAATTGTTGTACACATTTTATAGCTTGATATGATGACGGAGTCAAGCCGTAAGTGACAGTTTTTAAGTTGTATGCCTGGACTGGGGCATCGGTAGTTTCGCGCCATAAAATCTTTTGATAATTTTGATCATCTGGGTGGATTAAAATGCAACGATACATTTTTGAAATATCGGCTGTCAAAACGTACTGGTGTTTCCGAAATTGAATAAGAATTATAAAAAGATCAGGTTGGAGAACCGGACCTGCTAGCAAGTTATCATTCAAGCTAAGATTATTTGAACTTTTACATGAGCCATCGAATACAACGCGGTGTCTGGTTGTTGTACTGTTGAGATTTACTAGGCAGCTGTGTGGTAAATAAAAACAGTTTTCAGGAGTGTCATCCGCTATTAGTTCCATATGACCCAAATTGTGGTATTCTCTCATGAAATTTACGTATGCCTCGTTCAAATGATTATCGCGAGCACGTTTTCTCTCAACGGACAACAAACGGCTTAAAGCAGCCTCTTTGGATTTACCCAAAATGGGCGGATGTTCTTTAAACGGTAGCCTGACCATAAAACGACCATCGGGTAACCTAGTGGTCGTATCATAAAAATGTTGTTGAGAAGGATTATTAGGGGTTACAATTGGTACCTGCTCTTCATTTACAAGACCCGAATTTTCGAGTTCCCAAAACCGGGCTATTGTTTGTTCAAGATTTACTTTATAACAGGAAGCTTCCCTTCCTGTTGATTTTCCTAATGACCCGCCAAGAATGTATCCAAAAACCGTATTTTGCAAAACGTGCTGGTTTTTTTCTAGAATAATTTTATCTGCTAACAGTAAACTCAAGAACAATTCGGCACCTATCATTAAATCTACCGGTGCAGAACAATGTAAGAATGGATCAGCCAGTTTCACACTAGAAGGAATTTGTAAATCCTTGATGTTAAAACTATTACTGGGAATTGGTTCCGTTATTTTTGGAATTACTAAACACTGAATCTTAGTGACAATTGACGTAATTTTGCTTCTGATTTCGATTTCGGTTACTTTGTTTACAGTACATCTACCGTTTATCCCTATAATTGACATGTTAATTTCTTTTAACTTTAAACCAAGTAAATCTCATAAATGTTGTGTCACAAAATGAGACTGCTACCAATATCTAAGAAAGCGCGACAATCTTGTGTTTTACCATCTGGCCCTAGGACCTGTATTAATGCTGTTGATAAAATAATGTTTGAACTAATGGCTAGGTTACATTGAGATTTATTAATTTCTAACAAGCTAGTTTCGGGGTTATCTAGTGGTTCGGCATGCAATAAAGTGTGATGTTGTTGATTGCAAATTATGCGGCGGCATCTGGCTCTCGTATATCATAAGAGAAGACATGTAGTACCGCTTTCTGGTACTGCTGGTACTAAGTTTAAAGAGTGGAGAAACTCTGGCAGACTCCCCTCTCCCTCCACAATCGGTGCGGTATGGGTTCATTCGTTTTCTAGTGCTCGAGCTTGGCACGTCGCACGTCCGCTCGTCGTCTGGGACTGAACAATGGGTCATCACAAATCCCGCAAACGTCGTCATCGCTCTTCTTCCAGCTCAGAGGACGACCGCCGAGAACTTTGGAAACGATTGCGAAGTCTCGAAGCTGAACGACATCGAAGTCCCCTGCATTCCCCAAGTTCGGGTCGCGTGCTGCGTGGCGCGGACGAACCTTCAACAAGTTCGGGTCACGAGCTGCGTGCCGTGAACGAACATCCCCACGACGACGTTGGCCGTCGCCTGCGTGGCACGGCAACGCCTGGTTCGGCTACACTCGATGCTGCAGGTGAAATAGGTTGTCATTCTAACCAATCCGTGCAGTCTGAACCTACGCACTTAAGCGATCGAGAAGCTAACCTTGACGCTGCACAGCCGGTATTCCAGGAACACGATGACGTGGCGCTCGATCCGCACGTACTGGAAATGCCCGGTGAGACCGGCCCATCAGCAGCTGCCCCGTATCAGTTTCACTCGACCTTGTCAGCCAGCTGGAAAAGAATTTGCTGTCAGGGCTTAGATCCGGCCAAAAAATCGACCCTTTTGAAAGACGTTGTCATCCCGTCTAATGACGAATTCTTAATCCCACCAAAACTGAATCCGATCGTCAGAACTATTTTGTCGGGCCCAAATCAAACCCGTGACGACTCTCGGTGCGCCGCTCAAGCGCAGTTGGGCCAGGGGCTTAGCTTCCTGGGGAAAAGCATTAATGAAATTATTACAAATCACAACACCTCCGCAAGTCAAACCAAAAAGGACCGAAAACTCCCTCGTACACCCAGCAACGGAAAAGGCACCACCATTAACACAGGTACCACACATAGCAGGTCGCCTGCGGAATTTTCATTCAGTATGGCGGTCAATTTCTACTAGCCGAACGTTGCTGGACCATATAGCGGGGTATAAAATTCCTTTTTCTCGGGAAGTTCAGCAACGCTTTATTCCCAGGCGCCAAAATTTTTCTGTCTCCGAAAAGGGAAAAATCACCCGCGCCGTCCAGCACCTGTTAGCTCAGGGCGCAGTCCGCAAATGCCTGCCGCGCAACGATCAGTTCATTTCCCCAATTTTTCTAGTCAAAAAACCGAATGGGAAATATCGTTTCATCTTAAATCTTAAGCAACTAAATACATTTGTGGCCACTTCTCATTTTCAAATGGAAGATCATCGAACAGCCGCCCGGCTAATGCAAAAGGGCTGCTACATGTCTACGATTGACCTGCAGGATGCCTATTTTCTGATAAACGTAGACACTGACCATCGAAAATATCTTCGGTTCGAACATAATGGCCAATTATATGAATTCACTTGTATGCCATTTGGTTTGGCATCAGCGCCTTAGGTTTTTACAAAACTCACACGCCCTATTGCATCCCGTTTATGCTCTCGTGGCATTTGTTGCGTGATCTACCTGGACGATTTTCTCATCTTTGGGAACTCGGGGGATGCTTGCTCTCGAAATGTCTCTGTGGTTGTCCAGGTGTTAACTTCATTGGGGTTTTTAATCAATTGGGATAAATCCCAAACTATTCCATCGCAGAGATCCAAAATCCTTGGGTTTCATCTTGGACAGCCACATCATGACAATTTCCCTTCCTCTAGAAAAGCGCAAGAAGACTCTTAATATGATTCGCGATTTTAAAAGCCGAAGCCGCTGTTCAATTAGGGCTTTTGCCCAGTTTATAGGGACACTTGTATCGGCCTGTCCGGTGATAAAGTACGGACTAATGACACTAAAGCATTCGAGCGGGATAAGTTCAAAGCGTTAAGAGATCACCATATGAATTATGACACCTACATGTCCCTTTCTTCAACCTTGCAGAATGATTTCTTATGGTGGGAATCAGCAATTCAAACCTCTCACAATGACATACGTTTTGACAATTACGACTTTGTAATTTATACTGACGCGTCTCTTACTGGCTGGGGAGCCTGTTGCGACGACGAAAAGACACATGGTTGGTGGACTGCTACTGAATCACAACATCACATAAATTATCTAGAACTTTTGGCAATTGCTTACGCATTAAAATCCTTTGCAAAGTATAAAAAGTCTTGCAGCATTTTAATCAGAACGGACAATACGACTGCCTTATCATACATAAACCGCATGGGCACTATACAATACCCAGCGCTGTCTAACCTAGCAAGAGATATTTGGGAATTTTGCGAAGAAAGAAATTTATGGCTTTTTGCTTCATATATTAACTCGGGGAAAAATACAGTAGCAGATTCGGAATCACGCAGGCTTCCCGAGGAAACCGAATATGAGTTGTCGGATGGAGCCTTCAACCAAATCACGTTACGATTTGGTGCTCCACAAATTAATTTCTTCAACACGTATTGGACACTACAGGTTGCAGATATGGAACATTTAACAGTCACCGCTCGGCGCTCGCCTTAACTCTGAATTACGACATCGGGGCTGACCCTCTCGTTAAACGATTCATGAAGGGTATTTCCCAGCTAAGACCATCTGAAAGGAAATATCGTTTCACTTGGGACCCCCAAATCGTTCTGGACTATTTGGGAAATTTCTTCACTGATAACTTGACCTTGAAACAGTTGTCCCAAAAACTTGCCACACTGTTATTATTGACAACCGGACATCGCACCCAGTCGATTCATTTAATTCGCCTCTCGAACATCAAACGGTCCTCTGATGGTATCCAAATTTTTATAACGGAGACAATCAAAACTTCGTCCTGGACTGGAACGCAACCCTGTCTTCAGCTACCCTTCTTTCAGGAAAACCCTTCTATATGTGCCGCAACCACATTACTCAATTATCTCAACGAAACTGAGGACATACGGCATTCTAGCCCAGATTACTTGTTTATTCAGACCAGAAAACCGCATAATCGAGCGTCTCGCGATACGATCAGTCGATGGATTAAAGAAATCCTCTTTGAAGCCGGCGTCGATACAGACCTGTTTACCACGCATTCCACACGCTGCTACTTCTTCTGCTTTTAGAAGGGGCGTATCTTTACAAACCATCCACCAAACGGCGGGTTGGAGTCATCGCTCCACAGTGTTTGCGCGGTTCTATAATTGTCCCTTGCATGATAATTTCGCTTTTGCTCGTTCGATTCTAGAACCAGGGACCTAATACTCCATATCAGAGGAACGCTCTCCTCTCAAATTTCTCCTTATTTAAAAAAAAAAAAAAAAAACTGAGTTAAATTTTTCTCCAGCAGTATTCCTGTCAGCTAACTTTAGCCCCGTTATGGCATAAAGACCCATTGTTCTGTTTACGTTTAGCAGTACCCAGTTTTGTAACAATATACTCTTTAAACAAATACATGTCTTCTCTTATGATATACGAGAGCCAGATGCCGCCGCATAATTAAATGATCAAAGCAACTTACCTTAAGTGAAGTTCGATCATAATTATGCAAGGCATCTGGCTCGAAGATATCATAACCCACCCCAAGACCCTAAATGTGATGGTCGTACTTATCAACATTTACCTGCTAGTTATGATTGTTACAAATTCCTTCAAAGTAATGAACCCATACCGCACCGATTGTGGAGGGAGAGGGGAGTCTGCCAGAGTTTCTCCACTCTTTAAACCTAGTGCCAGCAGTACCAGAAAGCGATACTACATGTCTTCTCTTATGATATCTTCGAGCCAGATGCCTTGCATAATTATGATCGAATTTCACTTAAGGTAAGTTCCTTTGATCATTTAATTTTACAATTCGAACTTCTACAATCTTTTGTTTCATGATTCAGCCTGAAACAATTTGTGCTTTTTTTTAAGTTTTTGATTTGCTGTTCGCGGGCTAGTGGTTCTAAATTTAAGAAATCTGCACAACTGAATATATTATGTGATTTCTTGCAAAAGAAACATGCAATAATGTGATATTTTTTAGTATTTCGGGTTACATGCACCACCCGTTTATGAGTCGGTGTATAGTTTGAGCTTTTTCCAAATGTAACTTGCTTAATATCTTTGTGAAAATGATTTTTATGAATATGGATTGAGTCCAGAGTTTGACACCGCTTTTCTAAAAATTTTAATAAATCCTCGTGGGATGGTATTTCTCCAATTTGGAGAGATTCCTCCCAAATTGAAGTTGATATGTGGTCTAGTTTAGACAATATGATATAAACAATTAAATCGCTCCACTGCTCAGTAGGACGACCGAGCGATTTTAATGTATTGATATTTATATTTATTTGATCTAACAAAATCCGCAGTGTTTTGGAGTCGTTTTTATGAACTGAAGGAATATCAAAAATGTTCTTTATACTGTTGTTAATAATTAAACGTTTATTTTCATATCGTTTTAACAATTCTACCGCGATTTTATAATTGTTGTTATCTGTTTTCAATGATTCTAACGTTCTTTTCGATTCATCTTCCAGGCATGCTTTGAGATAATGAAGTTTTTGCATATCAGTTAAACCGTCATTGGCGTGAATTAAACTTTGAAATGTGTCAAAAAAGGATGCCCATTCCCCATAATTACCGTTGAATTTAGGCAACTCAATGGTAGGAAGCTTAACGAATTGCGCATTATTGGAGGAATTGGGAAGATTAGTCGAATTGTTTAAGCTTTTGCCTATTGCATCATCGTATTTAGCAAGAGTTTCGATGATCTGTACCTGAATGTCTTGAAAACGATACTGGCATTCTTCGGACCGATCGTCGTTCGCTAGCTCGATTGATTGAGAGCCAAATTCTTCAACAAAATCTTTGAATTTTACTTTTAGTTCCTCTAACATTTGTAGGCGACACTTTAAAATGCTTAATTTTGAATGGTTCGCGAACTCGTCTATAAAGTTCTCAAGCTCCTCTAGATCACCGAGAAGCCTTAAAAAAGTTACCGCTTTATCAGGCATATTGACAACGATTGAGGAAAATGTACGAGTATCAGAAAGAATAAAGATTAACCTTATTTGTCCACGTTGTTGCCTCGACGTTTCCCGTCCTTCGAAATGTTGTAGGACGGCTAATGATGGATGATGATTGCACTCACCACACTTTCAGTGGTTAATGATTAAATGCGCCGTAATATGTTGTTTGATGAAGGCGCTGATCCGGCTCGAAGGTCCATATGTTGAGTGTTGTAGCTCAGGATGTGTTTGATTGTGTTTTTGAGTAACGGACTGTATTTTTGTATTTTGTGTTTATTGGGTGAATGTTTACACGTTACTGTCACTTGTGTTAATGACCGTTTCAGCGCGGTTGGTGATAAGAATGCTACCTGCGGTAAATGGGGAAACAACCCCGATTCTTAGTACTCAACAAGTTGCTTATAATTTTGATGGGATGGTTTTTATTTTTTTACAGTGGTTTAAAAAAATTTTATAAATAAAGGGTGTGGTAATACATTGTTCTGCTAAGCCGATTTTACGATAACGCAGGTAAAATTGGAAATCCCGCTGCATGTTTATGGTGTGATTACACTATACAGTAATAACATCTTTATTGTCCAGAATTGATAAATATATCTCTATTACAATCAAAACAATAGTCGCAAACAATATAAATATAAATCAAATTTATATGTTTACTGAGAAAATTTTCTAACTGTTCGCTTCTGACATTTTTAAAACACGTCAAAAAGTAACATATTTTATTTTGGCGATTCTAGAAATAAGACGAATTTTTGAAGAAATGAAACAAAAAACAAGTATGGAAGTCGAAATAATAATAGCATATCTTTTGGAAAATTTGAAAAGTTAAAAATTTCATACAGCGAGTTGGAAAAACTGAAATTTGGGCAAAGCTGCCAAAAAATCCACCAAAAATTGTAGGATGTTACTATCGATAAGATGAATAAAAAATCATGGCGCTGATGGTCGCAGATTAAGATTTACGAAATATTTGCTTTCTAATTCAAGGTTTGAAAAATCGCAAAAATTGACATTTATTTTGACTGTTCTGGGGATGAGTTGGAATGTTAGAAGAAATTAAACCAAAAATAAATTATCGAGATCGAAATCAACACTAGCAGCGGATCAAGATTGTGGAAATACTCGGTATAAACTAAAAGTTGTAAAAATTCCAAAAAGTGGCATATTTTACTTTGGTGATTCTGGAAAAAGTAGTGGCAGTAAGACTTTTTAGCGTTCTGCTTGTTCAAACTCGAATTCCAGCTCCTCAATATTTTTTTGAATGGTCGACTTCAGATGCGCGCTTTTGTCTAAATAATTTTGAAGATTTTCGTCATTCAGTGGGAAAATTAAGGAAAATGACACAGTTTAAAATTTTAAGTTAAATAATTTAATTTATAATGTTATAATAATATGTAATTTACAAAACAAAATAACAAAATTTATGTACAAACAAAATGGATACATGAAATATCTAGTCTAAAACGAATATATAGTCCAATAGGTTACTCCTGTGGTCGATGTCTCCTTATTAGTGTCCGTCTGAGCCTCAAATTCCCAGAAATAATTCCTGGGAGGTGCCTGGATCCGACTCCTCTTACTGTCATTATTTTCATCAAATCTTCGGGCTTTTCGAAATTTTTGACGAAATTTCTGTATTCCTTGCAGGTGGAATCGAGATCCTCTTCTGGGAAAGTCTCCTCAGTGCGGGTTGGCGATGAACATCTCTGTAGAGCCATGGTTTGGAAATATCTGAAAAAGGAAACAAGAATTAGAAACAATTTATATAAATAAATGAAGGAAATACTTACAGCCTTTTGGTGATGAAAGTGTCTGGTATGTTAGCGCTGTGACGTCAACATTAAGACTGAAGATCGTGGGTTTGTTTCGCCCTTATATATATGCTGCAACACCCCTACCCTTCCCCCCCCCCTCCTGGCTGGCGAACAAGATGGGGGTGCTACACTTTCCATAGTTTGTGGTAAAGGGTGATAGAATATCTTCCTTTTTGTATTGTTGTTTAAATGACAATCAAGTTTTAAAAATATCGGTTTGATTTTTTGGCAATGGAATTTTAATTTTTTCAAAAATGGTGAACAGCGAATGTCAAATTTCTTGGCGAATTAGAGGTAGATCTCGATGAGCTGAACCAAAAAACACAGCATATTTATGGTCACGAAGCAAGATTTTGAAAATATTCGCTTTCAAATTGAAATTTTTAAAATGACCATATTTGCTTCTAGTGAATGTGGAAAGAGGCAAAATTTTCTAACTAAATTCTTTTATCCCTTCCAAAACATGATGACATCATCTCAAAAATTATTAAGTGAGAGTTGCTTATGGTTTTGATGGAATGGTTTTTATTTTTTTACAGTGGTTTAAAATTTTTTTTTTTTCACTAGCAGCCATAATGCATGCAAATGTCGACTTATTTAGAGGTAGCAAATTCAACTTTTGCGACCACGGGTTCAAAAAGAAAAACTGAGGTTATGTACGCAATGTTTGATGTGATTATTTCTTAAAAAATGAACAAATGTGTGCTACTAACATTACTTGAGTATACGCATGGTAGTTGGTAAACGGTAGAAGATAAAATAATTTAGCGACAAGTATAAACGGTTTTCTTTGTGTTGAAGATTTAGATTAAGTTTAATTTGAAATCAAAACAAAATCATGTTGCGTCAAAAAATTGAACGTTTATTTTTTCAATTTATTGTCTTATGGTTTCTACTAGTGAAAAAAATAGTATATTAACCACGGTTGCAAAGCCACTTCTAGACCTCGCGCTTCAGAGCCCTCGACGCTGCGCGTCTCGAGTTCTAATTTGCGCTCGGTCTAGATTGCTTGGCTTTGCAACCTGGGCTAATAATATACTATAATGATAAAGTGTGTGATAGTACGAGTACATTGTTGTGCTAAGCCGATTTTACGATAACGTAGGTAAAATTGGAAATCCCGCTGGATGTTTATGGGGTGATTACTAGGGCCCTGATTTTAGGTCACAAAAAATGAGAAAAAAGACGCCTAAAATAGGCTTTAAAAAACCTCAAATTAGGTTATAAAAATGTTGAAATAGGTTCAAATAGGTTGAAACGAATCTGAAATATCCAAAATTTCAAGGCAACTAAAACAATGGGTTTTTTTAGTTTTTTATTGTTTAAGAGCTGTTCACAATATTAATTAACATAATACATATATTTAAAATTATTTAAAGATTTAAATATTTGAATATGACTGTAATAAATTTAATAATTTATTTAAGCGAAGCATTCGCATGACAAACTATATATCGCTCTAGATTTTCACATATCATTGATGTGCGATTATCTGCTAAAATATTTTTTAAGCTTGAAAACGATCTTTCTACATCAACTGATATAATTGGAGCAAATTTAAAATGTGTCCAGTCGCAATAAATGGGTTCGGGGCTCATGTCCACATCCTCGCCAGACAATAAATTATTAATTTTTTTGATAAATTTAAAGCCGAGATTCTTTTCCAAACAACTTAGTAATTTATTGAACGCGATTTTGGAAACCTCCCCTGAACCATTTTATAATGAATTGTATGTTTGCGTTGCGATTTCTACAGCCTCAGTTAGTGGCAGACCAAACGCTTCCAATTTTGTTATGTTGTCCGATAATATCTTAAAATTGGCCTTAATGTAAAGTAAGTCGTTCTTCACTTGTGGTTTATTAACATATATTTGTACCAACTCAATGCATCGTGCGCCTCCTGTGGTAAAAGTCGTGATTACCTGAAATATTTATTTAATTGACAGACATGAAACAATTTAATTCAAATCTTGTGTATGTCATCAAAATGATCTGCGTAAAATAATGCGGCCCTTATCCATGTCCCCCATCTCTTTAATACAGGCTGCGGTGGCAGTGGAATATCGGGCAAGGTCTATTTATAAAATTCAACTCGAGTTGGAGCTTTTAAAAATACTTTTTTAACATTTGAAATTAACCCGCCCACAGTTTCGTACTGGTTACGTACTGATTCACACACAAGGTGCAAACAGGGCGCCAAACATGTCACATGTTGCAGATTTTCGTAAAAAATTTTTAAATTCGTTCCGGCCTTCAGCATATACGGTGCACCATCTGTCATTAAAAGCTTGACTTTATCGTATTTGATGCCCACGGGCCACAGTACACCTAAAATATTATAATAAAATGATGTAAAATTTAAGTAGATATTATTTAAATAGGTTTAAATTTACCCAAACTTTGATTTACAAATCGTGAAATGGTAAGATTATTGTTTTTTTCTAATTTTTTTTGAACTAAGCAAAATTGGGACACTAGCCGCTTCAGAATCTAATTTTCCAATTATCATATTTGCCATATATCTGCCTACTGAATCTGTTGTTTCATCGACAGAAATCCAAATATCGTTGTCCCCAATGTAAATTTTAACTCTTTCAACGGTCTGAAAAAAAAATTAGTCCAATAATTTAAAATATACAATTTCTTCAATTACGTCTTGAAAACACTGCCCTAGGTAATTTTTTCGAAGCGTAGACTCATCCGGAATGTGTTTTCCAGTGTATTTTTGTAGGAACTCTTTTAGTTGGGGATAAGACAACTTGTTCCATGGAATGTTAGCAGCAATTAACGCGTTGCACATTTCCAAATTAAATTCCCGGTTTGCTGTCCCAGAAGTGGATTGTTGGTATAACAAACTTTGACGCAATGGTTTTTTACGTTCTTATTGTGAATGTCTCCTCGTTCATGCTGTTCCAAATGAGACTTCTTTTCACACTCAAACTTAAATATTCAACATTAAAATTAAATTATATAGTATGTTACTTAAACAATAACAAATTGATGAAAATCGTATTTACATACTTACCACTTTGCCACATGGTTTACAGAATAATCCTCTGGCATCGTTGGCAATTTGATATATATTGCATATTGTCGTCATCCACGGATTTGAGCCAGTGGTTAATTTTAACTGTGTTAGAGGTTTTTTCTTTAGGCATCACGACGTTCAAAAATGTTGCACAACAGAACACCAAACTTACACCACGACACAATTTTAACTGAATGTCAGAAATTTGGCAAATGGCACTAGCGGAAGTGCATTTACAAAAGAACTAATAAAAATGTGTTACAAACTTGTTTGTAAGATAAAATATTACAATCGCAAGGAAAGGCGTAAGACGTCTTTCAAAGGGCTACCGCACTTATTGGTGTAGTTTCCTGGAAGGGTCTGCTTTCGGCTCACCCATTGTCTGGATTTTGTGAAATTACCGCAAAGCAGCAGGTTTAGGAAGTTTTAGGTCACAAAAAGCAGTTTTAGGTCACATACTCTCATTTTAGGCAATTAGGCAATTATAAAGTAGGCTCAAATAACATTATTTTTTGCGAAACACATTTATATCTAAGATTTATGTAAATGCCTTAAAAAGGATCAAAAAGTTTGGGTCCTAGTGATTACACCATACAGTAATAACATATTTATTGTCCAGAATTGACAAATATGTATTTATTACAGTCAAAACAATAGTCACAAACAATATAATTATAAATCAAATTTATATGTTTGGTCAGAAAATTTTCTAACTGGTAGCTTCTGAATTGACATTTTTAAAACACGTCAAAAAGTAACATATTTTATTTTGGCGATTCTAGAAAAAGACGAATTTTTGAAGAAATGAAACAAAAAACAAGTTTGGAAGTCGAAATAATAATAGCATATCTTTTGGAAACTTTGAAAAGTCAAAAATTTCATACAGCGAGTTGGAAAAATTGAAATTTGGGCAAGGCTGCCAAAAAATCCACCAAAAATTGTGGGATATTACTATCGATAAGTTGAATAAAAAATTATGGCGTTGATGGTCGCATATTAAGATTTACGAAATATTTGCTTTCAAATTCAAGTTTTGAAAAATCACAAAAATTTACATTTATTTTGGTTGTTCTGAGGATGAGTTGAAATGTTAGAAGAAATTAAACCAGAAACAAATTATCGAGATCGAAATCAACACTAGCAGCGGATCAAGATTGTGAAAATATTCGGTATAAACTAAAAGTTGTAAAAATTCCAAAAAGTGCCATATTTTACTTTGGTGATTCTGGAAAAAGTAGTGGTAGTAGTACTTTTTAGCGTTGAAATTAAGCTCTGCTCATTCAAACTCGAATTCCAGCTCCTCAACATTTTTTTGAATGGTCGACTTCAGATGCATGCTTTTGTCTAAATAATTTTGAAGATTTTCGTCATTCAGTGGGAAAATTAAGGAAAATGACACAGTTTAAAATTTTAAATTATATAATTTAATTTATAATGTTATAATAATATGTAATTTATAAAACAAAATAACAAAATTTATGTACAAACAAAATGGATACATGAAATATCTAGTCTAAAACGGATATATAATCCAATAGGTTACTCCTGTGGTCGATGTCTCCTTATTAGTGTCCGTCTGAGCCTCAAATTCCCAGAAATAATTCCTGGGAGGTGCCTGGATCCGACTTCTCTGACTGTCATTATTTTCGTCAAATCTTCGTGCTTTTCGAAATTTTTGACGAAATTTCTGTATTCCCTGCAGGTGGAATCGAGTTCCTCTTCTGGGAAAGTCTCCTCAGTGCGGGTTGGCGATGAACATCTCTGTAGAGCCATGGTTTGGAAATATCTGAAAAAGGAAACAAGAATTAGAAACAATTTATATAAATAAATGAAGGGTATACTTACAGTCTTGTGGTGATGAAAGTGTCCGGTATGTTAGCGCTGTAACGTCAACATTAAGACTGAAGATGGTGGGTTCGTTTCGCCCTTATATACAGGCTGCAGCACCCCTACCCTATCCTTCCCTCCCCAAGGTTGCCGAATAAGTTCGGGGTGCTACACTTTCCACAGTTTGGGTGAAGCGTTTTAGAAAATCTTTCTTTTTGTATTGTCGTTTAAATGACAATCAAGTTTAAAAAAAATTGGTTTCATATTTTTGAAAATGGAATTTTAATTTTTTCAAAAATGACGAACAGCGAATGTCAAATTTCTTGGCGAAGTAGAGGTAGATCTGGATGAGCTGAACCAAAAAACACAGCATATTTATGGTCACGCAGCAAGATTTTGAGAATATGTAATCGTTTTCAAATTAAAATTATTAAAATCACCATATTTGCTTTTAGTGGATGTGTAAGGAGGCAAAATTTTCTAACTAAATTCTTTTATCCCTTCCAAAACATGATGACATCATCGCAAAAATTATTAAGTGAGAGTTGCTTATAATTTTGTTGGGATGGTTTTTATTTTTTTACAGTGGTTTAAAAAAATTTTATAGATAAAGGGTGTAGTAATACATTGTTGTGCTAAGCCGATTTAACGATAACGCAGGTAAAATTGGAAATCCCACTGGATGTTTATGGGGTGATTACACCATACAGTAATAACATCTTTATTGTCCAGAATTGATAAATATATATCTATTACAGTCAAAACAATAGTCACAAACAATATAAATATAAATCAAATTTATATGTTAACTGAGAAAATTTTCTAACTGTTCGCTTCTGAATTTACTTTTTTAAAACACGTCAAAATGTAACATGTTTTATTTTGGCGATTCTAGAAATAAGACGAATTTTCGAAGAAATGAAACAAAAAACAAGTTTGGAGGTCGAAGTAATAATAGCATATCTTTTGGAAACTTTGAAAAGTCAAAAATTTCATGCAGAGATTTGGAAAAACTGAAATTTGGGCAAAGCTGCCAAAAAATCCACCAAAAATTGTAGAATGTTACTATCGATAAGATGAATAAAAAATCATGGCGTTGATGGTGGCAGATTAAGATTTACGAAATATTTGCTTTCAAATTCAAGTTTTGAAAAATCGCAAAAATTGACATTTATTTTGGCTGTTCTGGGGATGATTTGGAATGTTAGAAGAATTTAAACCAAAAACAAATTATCGAGATCGAAATCAACACTAGCAGCGGATCAAGATTGTGGAAATATTCGGTATAAACTAAAAGTTGTAAAAATTCCAAAAAGTGGCATACTTTACTTTGGTGATTCTGGAAAAAGTAGTGGCAGTAAGACTTTTTAGCGTTGAACTTAAGTTCTGCTTGTCCAAACTCGAATTCCAGCTCCTCAATATTTTTTTGAATAGTCGACTTCAGATGCGCGCTTTTGTCTAAATAATTTTGAAGATTTTCGTCATTCAGTGAGAAAATTAAGGAAAATGACACAGTTTAAAATTTTAAGTTAAATAATTTAATTTATAATGTTATAATAATATGTAATTTACAAAACAAAATAACAAAATTTATGTACAAACAAAATGGATACATGAAATATCTAGTCTAAAACGAATATATAATCCAATAGGTTACTCCTGTGGTCGATATCTCCTTATTAGTGTCCGTCTGAGCCTCAAATTCCCAGAAATAATTCCTGGGAGGTGCCTGGATCCGACTCCTCTTACTGTCATTATTTTCGTCAAATCATCGGGCTTCTCGAAATTTTTGACGAAATTTCTGTATTCCCTGCAGGTGGAATCGAGTTCCTCTTCTGGGAAAGTCTCCACAGTGCGGGTTGGCGATGAACATCTCTGTAGAGCCATGGTTTGGAAATATCTGAAAAAAGAAACAAGAATTAGAAACAATTTATAAAAATAAATGAAGGGTATACTTACCGCCTTGTGGTGATGAAAGTGTCTGGTATGTTAGCGCTGTGACGTCAACATTAAGACTGAAAATCGTGGGTTTGTTTTGCCCTTACATATATATGCTGCAACACCCCTACCCTTCCCCCCCCCTCCTGGCTGGCGAACAAGATGGGGGTGCTACACTTTCCATAGTTTGTGGTAAAGGGTTATAGAATATCTTCCTTTTTGTATTGTTGTTTAAATGACAATCAAGTTTTAAAAATATCGGTTTGATTTTTTGGCAATGGAATTTTAATTTTTTCAAAAATGATGAACAGGGAATGTCAAATTTCTTTGTGAAGTAGAGGTAGATCTCGATGAGCTTAACCAAAAAACACAGCATATTTATGGTCACGAAACAAGATTTTGAAAATATTCGCTTTCAAATTGAAATTTTTAAAATGACCATATTTGCTTCTAGTGATGTGGAAAGAGGCAAAATTTTCTAACTAAATTCTTTTATCTCTTCCAAAACATGATGACATCATCTCAAAAATTATTAAGTGAGAGTTGCTTATAATTTTATTATAATTTTGATGGGATGGTTTTTATTTTTTTACAGTGGTTTAAAATAGTATATTAAAGAACGAGTTTCATAAGGCAAATATTGAGGCACGAATCCAAGTTTATAGAACGAGCGGCGAAGCCGCGAGTTATATAAAGGATGAGTGCCTCAATGGCCTTATGAACGAGTTATTTATACTATTTTTTCTACCGCACACGTTTTTTCCCAAAATTTAATTGAAATTTGCATTTTTTTTAATCTGGGGACTTTTGTCGTAGTTGGTGATGGGTCGGTCTGACACTAACCACGAAATATTTGAGGTTGGAATTTTCACAACAACAAATGTAATTCGAATCAATTCGAGTTTTTGTAATTTAAAATTGATTAAAATGTCTTGCGAAGAAGTTACGCGTCCGGAAACATGGGAAATTTTAAGTTTACATTTGCTATTAACATTCACCTGACATTTCTCGTCGTGGCTACCAATCTTACCGATCTAAATTACACCAGATCTATTAAAGAACGCCTTTCCGGTATTAACGAACTGTTGTGACGTCATTTGCGTGCGTTAATAGCTCTATTAGAGAACCAAAAAACGTGGGCGGTAGAAAAAAATTTTAATGATAAAGTGTGTGATAGTACATTGTTGTGCTCAGCCGATTTTAAGATAACTCAGGTAAAATTGGAAATCTCGCTGGATGTTTATGGGCTGATTACTAGGGCCCTGATTTTAGCTCACAAAAAATGAGAAAAAAGACGCCTAAT